TAGCTGATGTTTTGAAAAAAGGTGTAATTTACTAACAGCTTCTTGTCTGTCATCCATCATTGACGAAAATACCAAAGAAATTCAACATGTTTGTCAGCTGAAACTGAGATAAGTAGATTGTTTCTGTCAAATATTTTCAAGCAAAGCTATTTGATCAAAGTTGAGCTTAACAGGACTTGAAGGGAATCAACACAAGAGGAGTTATTCCTCCTGGCTGGTTAGATATAATCAGAGAGTAATTATGGAGGATGGTCAGGGATGCTCTGAGGTGGAAATGGGGCGGCTTGTACTTCAGATTTGGAGGAAATAGTTCCAGGAACTATACATTGTCATTATGAGATAACATTACACTGCAACGTATGTGGATAATGAGACAAGGTTTCTCTCAATAATGAAGCAATTTATTGAACAATGGTTACTAATTATTTTAGAAAACTAGAGATATATTCCACAAGTCCTGAACCCTGATCCACAAAGCGTTTGTAGTGTTACGAGCTATCGTAACTCTATGGTTTACTATAGGTTTACGAATGTTGTAGAGCTACGAACACTTTGTGGATCGGCCCCTAGTTTTGATTGGACACTATGTTAAGAACTATCCACACCATTACATGGTCTCAGGCTTGTCATCATGCTGTATATTTAATAGCGACAGAAACAATTTTCTTGTTTGATAGTCTTGAACTTGAAATTCAGTCCAGTGATTCCTTTTGTTTTTTTGTCGTTTTTGTATTTACACTAAATATGTCTTGAAATATGTAAATTGTAAAGGCAGGGGATATTGTTCGAATAGATTTGCACAGAGATGCATTCAACTGATTCCCATTTAGATGGCCATTAACTCTCACTCACACTCTCAGTCACTTAAACACCGACTCACCTCGTCCACCCTACCACCCATTCATTCATTCATTCATTCATTCATTCATTCATTCATTCATTCATTCATTCATTCATTCATTCATTCATTCATTCATTCATTCATTCATTCATTCACATGCTCAGAAACAAAAATGACATTACTAGATAGGTACAGTACATCACAGTTGTATTAAAAACTTACTCAAGAGACCATTTGTCTGAGACCATTTAGACATGATCAGTTGTTGAGACAGCAGCATGTGAGGTGTCTGATTATAGGAGTCTGCTGAGTACCGGTATTTTACTAGAGACAATGGCAGTAGAACATTAGCATGAATTTATCAACTTGTAATATTTGAAGAATACTTTCCAAATGATCAGTCAATGTCATAGAAAATTAACTGACATGAAACAGGTACTGGCAACCTCTGTCTGCAATCAAACACCATTTATTCAATCATCAGTGGCCTATATAGCTATCTTAATTATGCCATACAGTGTATGTGATCAACACTGATAAATCAGCGTCTCAATATGGTGATGTAACTAACTTGAAAAGGCTCATTAATAGGCAGTTCTGGCAGACAGCTGGAGTGAGATGTGGAGTCCTCCTCATCAGGGAGATAGCATCAGTGAGATCTGTACAGCAGCGTACCGCTACAACCCAGTCGGCATAATCAGTGGGGATTTAGATCAGCGTGAGGGAATCCCTTTGGGGAATGATTGTGTCTCCTGGGTGTGTCATAATGAGCTAAAGTTGGTACTGGTCATTCAACTGGGGCACCTCATCACTGGTGTGCTGGTTGTCATAGCAAGCTGTCACACCTCAGGCTTGTCATCTTTTTTTTATACCATATTGACATATTCAATTTTCTCGTTTGTTAGTCAGGAACTTAAAATTCAATCCACTGTCATTCCTTCAGGGGTCTTGTTTTTATATTAAACATGTCACATGAGTGTTGTAAATTCTACAGGAAGGGAAACAATGTGTTAGGATAGTGCTTTGTTTGTAGATTATGTTGTTGAGAAGTGATGTATCACATAGATTTCCATATATGTGTTCTGGACAACATTTGGTGTATTATTAATTATTCATTATTAATTGTTTTGGTTAAATGTTAGGCACATGTGTTTGAACCAGCTAGAGTAAAACGTTTACATCCATCTTGTCCATTTATGAAGTTGTAATGATATAAGATTATTCATATCTAGAAAGCCATGTCAATATGAGTATGTTGTACAATGTAGAATAATGGTTCAAATGACACGTTTTACATACACGGACATGCACACGCACACACATGGTGTTTTGATGCTGCTCAGAATATCAACCACTGGTTTGTCTGGTCCACTTGCACTTATTGCCATACTGCTGAATGAAGCATGAAGCATAAAAACAAACAGGTGACCATCTTCTCCTGCCAACTTCCCCTGGTTTCTGTATATCAATGTCCTGCCAACTTCCCCTGGTTTCTGTATATCAATGTCCTGCCAACTTCCCCTGGTTTCTGTATATCAATGTCCTGCCAACTTCCCCTGGTTTCTGTATATCATGTCCTGCCAACTTCCCCTGGTTTCTGTATATCAATGTCCTGCCAACTTCCCCTGGTTTCTGTATATCAATGTCCTGCCAACTTCCCCTGGTTTCTGTATATCAATGTCATGCCAACTTCCCCTGGTTTCTGTATATCAATGTCCTGCCAACTTCCCCTGGTTTCTGTATATCAATGTCCTGCCAACTTCCCCTGGTTTCTGTATATCGATGTCATGCCAACTTCTCCTGGTTTCTGTATATCAATGTCATGCCAACTTCCCCTGGTTTCTGTATATCAATGTCATGCCAACTTCTCCTGGTTTCTGTATATCAATGTCATGCCAACTTCTCCTGGTTTCTGTATATCAATGTCATGCCAACTTCCTGGTTTCTGTATATCAATGTCATGCCAACTTCTCCTGGTTTCTGTATATCAATGTCATGCCAACTTCCCCTGGTTTCTGTATATCAATGTCATGCCAACTTCCCTGGTTTCTGTATATCAATGTCATGCCAACTTCCCTGGTTTCTGTATATCAATGTCATGCCAACTTTCCCTGGTTTCTGTATATCAATGTCATGCCAACTTCCCTGGTTTCTGTATATCAATGTCATGCCAACTTCCCCTGGTTTCTGTATATCAATGTCATGCCAACTTCCCTGGTTTCTGTATATCAATGTCATGCCAACTTCCCTGGTTTCTGTATATCAATGTCATGCCAACTTCCCTGGTTTCTGTATATCAATGTCATGCCAACTTCCCCTGGTTTCTGTATATCAATGTCATGCCAACTTCCCCTGGTTTCTGTATATCAATGTCATGCCAACTTCCCCTGGTTTCTGTATATCAATGTCATGCCAACTTCCCTGGTTTCTGTATATCAATGTCATGCCAACTTCCCCTGGTTTCTGTATATCAATGTCATGCCAACTTTCCCTGGATTCTGTATATCAATGTCATGCCAACTTTCCCTGGATTCTGTATATCAATGTCATGCCAACTTTCCCTGGTTTCTGTATATCAATGTCATGCCAACTTCCCCTGGTTTCTGCATATCAATGTCATGCCAACTTCCCTGGTTTCTGTACAATGTCATGCCAACTTCCCTGGATTCTGTATATCAATGTCATGCCAACTTTCCCTGGATTCTGTATATCAATGTCTTGCCAACTTCTCCTGGTTTCTGTATATCAATGTCATGCCAACTTCCCCTGGTTTCTGCATATCAATGTCATGCCAACTTCCCCTGGATTCTGTATATCAATGTCATGCCCACTTCCTCTGGATTCTGTATATCAATGTCATGCCAACTTCTGGTTTCTGTATATCAATGTCATGCCAACTTCCCCTGGATTCTGTATATCAATTTCATGCCAACTTTCCCTGCATTCTGTATATCAATGTCATTCCAACTTCCCCTGGTTTCTGTATATCAATATCCTGCCAACTTCCCCTGGTTTCTGCATATCAATGTCATGCCAACTTCCCCTGGATTCTGTATATCAATGTCATGCCAACTTCTGGTTTCTGTATATCAATGTCATGCCAACTTCCCCTGGATTCTGTATATCAATTTCATGCCAACTTTCCCTGGATTCTGTATATCAATGTCATTCCAACTTCCCCTGGTTTCTGTATATCAATATCCTGCCAACTTCCCCTGGTTTCTGTATATCAATGTCATGCCAACTTTCCCTGGATTCTGTATATCAATGTCATTCCAACTTCCCCTGGTTTCTGTATATCACTGTCCTGCCAACTTCCCCTGGTTTCTGTATATCAATGTCATGCCAGCTTCCCCTGTATTCTGTATATCAATGTCATGCCAGCTTCCCCTGGTTTCTGTATATCACTGTCATGGCAGCTTCCTCTGGATTCTGTATATCAATGTCATGCCAGCTTCCCCCGTATTCTGTATATCACTGTCATGCCAACTTCCCCTGTATTCTGTATATCAATGTCATGCCAGCTTCCCCTGTATTCTGTTTATCAATGTCATGCCAGCTTCCCCTGGTTTCTGTATATCACTGTCATGGCAACTTCCCCTGGATTCTGTATATCAATGTCATGCCAGCTTCCCCTGGTTTCTGTATATCAATGTCATGCCAACGTCCCCTGGTTTCTGTATATCACTGTCATGCCAACTTCCTCTGGTTTCTATAAATCACTGTCATGGCAACTTCCTCTGGATTCTGTATATCAATGTCATGCCAGCTTCCCCTGTATTCTGTATATCAATGTCATGGCAACTTCCTCTGGATTCTGTATATCAATGTCATGCCAGCTTCCCCTGTATTCTGTATATCAATGTCATGCCAGCTTCCCCTGTATTCTGTATATCACTGTCATGCCAACTTCCCCTGGTTTCTATATATCACTGTCATGGCAACTTCCTCTGGATTCTGTATATCAATGTCATGCCAGCTTCCCCTGTATTCTGTATATCAATGTCATGCCAACTTCCTCTGTTTATCAATGTCATGTCAACTTCCTCTGTTTATCAATGTCCTGCCAACTTCCCCTGGTTTCTGTATATCAATGTCATGCCAACTACTTCTGTATATCAATGTCATGCCAACTTCCTCTGTATATCAGTGTACTTACCATGGCTGCTCACCAGCTTCAGGACACAAGCGGTGGATACACAAGTCAACAATCCATTAAGAATCTGTTGTCCACCTTTTGAATGTGATATAGTCCCAGTCCAACGTGTCCTTAATCCAACTTGAAGGAACAGAGAGTCACACACCTGTAACAGATGCCATGGAGTGCAGGGTCGGGTTTGTCAAGGTATATATGCATAGTGAGAGCACCTGTTCGGGGTTCAGGGACAGAGTTGACCTTAAGAATTCCATGTTTGTCTCCCTATGGAGATTTAGGTCACAATTTTGTAAAGATCTTCTGTGCCTGATACTTGCCTCCCTGTCAGGATTCTGGGTTAGAATATACTTGACCCCAGTATTCATCACTTGTATTACAGTGGTGATTCTGGACAAGATAAGTCCCCAATATCCCATGCTGGTCTCCCTTTCAGGACTCCAGACAGTACAGATCCCTGTAACCAGTGCTTGTGTACATATGCCTTTGAGATTAATCACTGAATTACTCATAAATGTCTCAATCAGATATGTTCTCACTGAATGGCATCAAGGAACTAAATCAAAGTGGGCTTGTGTTCTATGATGCGCCATCATGGCACATTGCTGATCACTCCATATTTTATACTTTATGAAGTCAGAAAGGGGTGACTAACAGCGCTGGCATTCTTCATCCACAACGACATTAATGCATCTTCAGGCAAGACAAATGGTGAGTCTGGACACACATAAAACTGTGTCATCGGACAAAATGCTCATTTGCACAAACTCTGTGATGAACTATCATGTTAAGTGAACATAAAGCTGCAAATATGCATAGTCCAAGGTGTTGTTTGCAGAGCTGTTCATTTGTCATGAAAATTGAACTTTTTAAAACAATTGTTGATGTGAGTAAAGAATAATCTATATTGGAGGTAAGCATTGGTTTTTGAAAATTTTCTTAAAAAATCATTTTTACAGTCTTGAGATCAAGTGAAAAAGTATAAAAAACGTGCATTTCCACTCCCTTCATCCTGTGTTATGACCCACGTTTCGGGACAGTGGTGAACCATGACTCCTAACTATATTCTTCAGAATTAAATTTCCCTTTTGACATCTTCCAATTAGCTGTATCTACTTTCGGTTAGCTGGTATTTTCCTACAATATTTTTACAGTGTTAAGGACATTAAACAAAAAACATTCCAAACCATTCATACTTACATACATGCAAGATTCAAGTTAGATGTATAACTACTTACTAGTTTACAACACTGTGACAACCATTAGATGATTCTGTTACAGCAGGTACATATTAATGTGAAACTGATCATTATATTTTTTAAGAATAGTTGTGAAACAAGACACAATACTTTAGGGTTTCCAAACAACCAGATACCAGTTCCACTTACAGAGCCAACGTATGTCTCCCTCCACTGTAGACCAGTGAGCTGGAGACTTCTGTTACCACTCCCGCTGACCGTGTAATACATGTTATATATCACATGGTATTCCCCATGCTCTGTCTGCTTGAGAGAACTAATCCTATCGCTTGATTGACACAACAATGTTCCCTTGTTGAACTTACATACATTTCCAGTCAGCTTAGATACCATTGTTCCCTAAGCTCCATAATCTCAGAACTTGGTGAAATTTAAGACAAGACTCCTTCAGATAATTCATGCTGTTTGAAAAGTTATTTTTGTTTTTTTTGCCAACATTTTAATTGTTGAATTCTAAATGTTAGCCCAGAAATGAACACGCTTAACAATTCAATGTGAAACAACAACAAAATTTGACAATTGACAACTATTTTAAAACTTACTAGGTTTACAAATGAAAGCAAGTTACTGCAAAGCAGAAGAAAGTGGTAGTACATAATTACTTCGTTGCAGAATTACAATGGCAATGTAAATAAACTGCAGATGTAATAGCATTAAAGTCAGTGATTCTACTATTCACCTTGCAGGAACCGTGGTTAAGCTACTGAAATAGGCCTAGGCTGGATATCCAGAGGGTACATATGATCATACTAGGGGTGAAATGGTACACTCATACCATGGTACGTATTGCGGTACAAGGCCTTTGGTTTGGTTCGGTTCAGTATGTGCAAACTCACTTCCGGGAAAATAGCAGCCGTCTAGCATAGAAATGCATAGATTTTGACAAAATGATTTGATTTCTAGACATTTAAAACAGGTGTAAAAAGGTTAATAAAATGATGGTATGAAAACCAAAAATACTGAATTTGTTACTGCATTACGGTATACCAAACTAAAGGAAAAATACTGGGGTTCTACTAGTACTGTGGTACACTGTTTCACCTCTAGGTCATACCATTCCACTCACTCACTGACTCACTCCACCTGTGAAAAAAAATCTATTTTCACAGTTCATTAACAATTAACAACTGTTTGCATTGAACAATCTGAGTCCATGCGTAACAAATACGCTATTATAATATGAATTAACTGTGTTCCTTAACTGATTTTGAGTGGGATGTGTTTGTGTATTGCGTCAGCTGCTGGTATTGTTTGTTGCATGGCCATAAATACTATCAACTGATCATGTGTGACAACTCAAGGCTGGTAATGTAACGCATCACATCACTACTGGACTGCAGTAGTGCAGTGGTAAGGTGTCTGCCTATCACGCTGAAGACCCGGGTTCGGGTCCCGAGGTGGGGACATTTGCGTAGTATCCTTGGACAAGATACTTAGATCTACATTGTCTTAGTTCACCCAGCTGTAAAATGGGTACCCGTGAGGATGTGCTGACAATGTGAGTGTTTAGTTTGTTGCGCCTAACAGGCAGCATGGCTGTATACTCCCCAGGGAGTTGACGAAGTATCGGAAAGTACGATAGTGTCCTATGACCGGAGATAGTAATGTACGTAGCGCCGTGAGCAGGCAATGTGCCTGGATATGAGCGCGCCATATAAGCGGACTATTACTATTACTATTACTATAAGGCTGTTCTACTGAGTAAGAAAATCTATGTTTATTATTATTTATCATTATTTGAAAACCTAGGCGTAGAATATAGACGGATGACTTTGTGTGCTGGCGATTAGGTGCCTGACTCTGACGGTGTGGTTCAGATCCTGGATGGGACTCAACCCAATAAAAGTACTAGAAACTATACTTTACTGAGAAAGTGTAATCCCAAATATAACATGAGTTACATGGGCACTTCTCTACAGCAGAATATGGTACTGTATGTAACTGGAATATGTGTTGTGGCATACATGTTGTATTCTATGTGGTGAAGAGCAATGGAGTAACCTAGTGGTTAAAATGTTCACCCTGACGACTGGAGTTCTATCCCCTACATGGGTACAATGTGTGAAGCCCATTTCTGGTGTTCCGACCATGATATTGCTGGAATATTGCTGTAAGTGGCATAAAACCATACTCACTCACTCACTCACTCACTCACTCACTCACTCACTCACTCACTCACTCACTCACTCACTCACTCACTCACTCACAGTGTGGTGAAATATTGGTGCAGCTGTGTATAGTGGAATATGGGCATTATTCTATCGGGTGGTATATGTGTTATTTTCTATATGTTAGAACATGGATGGTACTCCATTTGTAGGAATATGGAACATACTTTTCATGTGCAATATGGGTGTTATTCCATATGATGGAATGTAACAGATATTCCAAAGATGTGATATTGATGGAGGTCTCTATGGTGAAATATGGCTTGTACTCAAGATGGTGGACAGTTGGTTGAACTGTAGTTGGTGAAATATGGTTGATGCTCTATATAGTTGAGTTGTTATTCTTTATACAGGCAGAACAGACAGACAGAAGTTTTTATTCAATGTTTCAATATATGTTGTTCTATATAGTGGAATATGAATAGAACTACACATGGTGGAATAAGCATGTTTCTGTAAGTGGTGGAATATTGTTTGTACACTTCATGGTGGTACTCTATTTGGGGGAAAATGTATGGGTTACTTCACAATTATGTAATATGGATGGTATTCAATATGGTGAAATATGGATGATATTCTGTTTGGTGGAATGTAGCTAGAACTAAAAATTGTAGAATATTGGTGGCACACCATATGGTGGAATATGGATGTTATTCTATGTGGTGGAATGTGGCAAAAACTAAAAATTGTAGAATATGGATGGGACTCCATATGGTGGAATATGGATGGAACTCAAAATTGTAGAATATGGATGGCTCTCCATATGGTGAAAGTACGGGGAGTATTATTGTTAAGTCCTTTTCATCTACATTGCCATTTAGTTCCAAACCTCACACCATGATGATTGAAAAAATATATATGATAAACTAATTTCATCAAAACACAGATAAATTAATGCACTTCATGGCATAACACATTTAATTATTGTGAACATAGTGTTCCATAGTTTTCTTCTAGCCTCGGGATACATGTGATGACACAGATGTTGTACAGCAAGATATTGTGTAACTATATGATGTATTAACATTTAACAAAATTATTTTCTTTAAGAAGTACATTCTGTCAAGATGGGCCATCATTGAAATGTCTAATTATGCAAGTGTTTCATGATTCTGAAATACAAGATCAGTATCATACTGTCTCAGACGACAAGAAATTTGTTACAATCGACTGTGCTTTCAGCAGAGATTTCTTCTGGATGTGGAAAGGGTTTAGTTGCTTCTCTTCCAAATGTAAGATAAAGATTAGTGTGTTACAATGTAACAAGTCCAGTGTGAGATAGGATAAGTATTCATAATTCTACCTTTCGTTGTAAAATGGTCAATATTTAAAAAGTTATATTAAACAGAATAATAATTATTGCAGAGGGTTTTTCTTAAATTCACCAAAATGATCTTAATGAATCATTATTGAAGTTTTCGTGTAGGTGAACAACATACACGATACAGTCATTTCCAACTTATCCAACATGGTATGGAACACTTAGTCTCAATCATATAGTTGTCTAAGAAGTGAAATAAAATTAATTACCTCTGGGAAGCATCAGTATAAAAGAACCAGCAAGTCTCAGAAGCTGAGAACAGGATGAAGTCAGGCAGCCAAGACTGAGAACTGCTGAGAGTTCAATGGGGGAATGTTTTATTAAACAGGTGCTTTGGGTCTAATACAGAGATGAAGGATGGAATTAACTGATCAATCTGGCTGCACTGGACAAATATGCTCCCATTTCCAAAATGTCATACCTAGATTTTTTTATAGTACTTAGGCTATATATATATATAAAAAATTGATTTAATTTAAACAAACTGTACAGTGGACACATGCATACCAATCTGTGTGACGATCGTGTGGAAGATGTATGAGTGATGTTCAACTACGATGTCCTGAGTTAGTGGAGGTTCGTTCCAAAGTGCCATCTAGGGGAGACTGCATTACGTGTTTAGAAAGCTTTTATTGATTGTACTGATGTGAGAATTCATCATTAGAGGAAAAACATGGCAGATTATAGTGATATAGATTTTTACATTATTTCTGTACATCTGTTATGGATTTAATGGATAGACATTTTAGACATGTGGTATTAAGTACTGATGTTTAGTGAGGTTGATGTTCAATGCCAATCAAAGAACAAAGTTAACAGTATTGAATACTATGTTACTGTCTGGCTATTCAGTATTGGCATCAATACTGTTCACAGTAATGACCACTGTGCATCACATTGAAGTATTGTACTTGTAAAGTTGTCAGATGCTTTGATACTTTTTTTTGTAGTTTTTAATATTGAGCAATGTTTTTTTTATGTGAAAGTGTAAAAAGGTTTTGGAACTTACCTGTTGAGAATATGGAAATATTCCAGTAAATATGGTGCCAGTGTGTATAGCTCCAAGAGTCTGTGAGCCAACATCCCAGGCCCTACTGCACAAACACCGAACCAGCAACACCTGAGGAATCTGCTTGATGGACAGCTGAGACTCCTCCCACTGTGTAGGAGGATGCTGATATTGCTCCAATACTCCATGACTGACAGGTGCTTGGCTCCTCCCTCTTGGTAGGCTTGTGGAGGCTGATCAGTCAGTCATTACTGATTGACAGTTTCAGTGCTTCGTCTGCCTACACATTACTGAGGGAACCTTTTCTGTGTGGGGATTGAGTGACAGGTTGGATACACCTCTGTGATGGAAGGGATGTGCTGACTGTTGTGATGTTAGTGTGCGAGATGGGAAGCTCTTGAAGTGATTAGAAGAGTATCAAATCAGTTTGTATTTGTGTCAAGACGGCTATAGACATTAGCAACTGCAGCACTGAGATTTATCTAATTGGTAGAGAATGTAGCTGAGGAAGGCATGAAGAGGTATTCAGATTGGAGGGTGGGGCTTCAGGGTGGATGTAGGTTTGTTGAGTGTTGTAGGGTAAGGATGGGAGTGTGGATATGGGATTACTGGGTGTTGTAGGATAAGGATTGGAGCGTGGATATATGGTTACTGTGTGTTGTAGGATAAGGATTAGAGTGGATGTAGGTTTGTTGAGTGTTGTAGGATAAGGATGGGAGTGTGGATATAGGGTTACTGTGTGTTGTAGGATAAGGATTAGAGTGTGGATGTAGGTTTGTTGAGTGTTGTAGGATAAGGATGGGAGTGTGGATATAGGGTTACTGTGTGTTGTATGATAAGGATTAGAGTGGATGTAGGTTTGTTGAGTGTTGTAGGATAAGGATGGGAGTGTGGATATAAGGTTACTGTGTGTTGTAGGATAAGGATTAGAGTGTGGATGTAGGTTTGTTGAGTGTTGTAGGATAAGGATGGGAGTATGGATATAGGGTTACTGTGTGTTTTAGGATAAGGATTAGAGTGAGGATGTACGGTTGCTAAGTGTTGTAGAATAAGGATTAGAGTGTGGATGTAGGTTTGTTGAGTGTTGTAGGATAAGGATGGGAGTGTGGATATGGGATTACTGGGTGTTGTAGGATAAGGATTGGAGCGTGGATATACGGTTGCTGGGTGTTGTAGGATAAGGATTAGAGTGTGGATGTAGGTTTGTTGAGTGTTGTAGGATAAGGATGGGAGCGTGGATATGGGATTACTGGGTGTTGTAGGATAAGGATTGGAGCGTGGATATATGGTTACTGGGTGTTGTAGGATAAGGATTAGTGTGGATGTAGGTTTGTTGAGTGTTGTAGGATAAGGATAAGAGTGTGGATATGGGTTACTGTGTGTTGTAGGATAAGGATTAGAGTGTGTATGTACGGTTGCTGAGTGTTGTAGGATAAAGGTAAGAGTGTGGATGTAGGTTTGTTGAGTGTTGTAGGGTAAGGCTGGGAGTGTGGATATGGGATTACTGTGTGTTGTAGGATAAGGATTGGAGCGTGGATATATGGTTACTGGGTGTTGTAGGATAAGGATTGGAGCGTGGATATATGGTTACTGGGTGTTGTAGGATAAGGATTAGAGTGTGGATGTAGGGTTGCTGAGTGTTGTAGGATAAGGATGGGAGTGTGGATATAGGGTTACTGTGTGTTGTAGGATAAGGATTAGAGTGTGGATGTAGGTTTGTTGAGTGTTGTAGGATAAGGATGGGAGTGTGGATATAGGGTTACTGTGTGTTGTAGGTTAAGGATTAGAGTGTGGATGTAGGTTTGTTGAGTGTTGTAGGATAAAGATTAGAGTGTGGATGTAGGTTTGTTGAGTGTTGTAGGATAAGGATTAGAGTGTGGATATAGGGTTACTGTGTGTTGTAGGATAATTATTAGAGTGTGGATGTAGGTTTGTTGAGTGTTGGATTGGAAGGTTGATTCCTGAATTTCACTCACTCACTCACTCACTCACTCACTCACTCACTCACTCACTCACTCACTCACTCACTCACTCACTCACTCACTCACTCACTCACTCACTCACTCACTCACTCACTCACTCACTCACTCACTCACTCACTCACAGTACCTTTTACTTGATCCCTGACAGTGTTAGACCAATTCCCATGGCAAGGTGGAACTTGTAGAGTGTTCACACATTAGGTAGATAGCAGCCTGTGGCAGATGATGCAAGCTGGCTTGTTTAAAAAACAGTCACTCCAACCATGTCACATTTAGCCTGACTGGTTTTGTAACTTGGTCATTGTTGAGGTACATATAAATATATATCCATCTGTGTGTCAGTGTTTTATTCAGTGTCATCTATTGTGTTGGAACATGGTACTTTTCTCTCTCAGCTGTTTCACATAGTGAAACGTTTTCTAACATTTTGTCAACAACCAAAGAATTTACTGACCAGGCAGATTTTGTTGTATTTTCATCACTCCTCACAAAAAAACACCCAAATATTTTTGAAGGTATGATGTAGTAACTGTTTGACTGGCATTGTTGGTGACCAAATAAAATAACAATCAGCTCTATGGGTAGCAAGTTCTGGAACGTTGCATAAAGCAATGTGTGTGTGGCTTGGCTTCTTACGTGGTGTTGTAGCTAGAGTGACTGTAACGACCAAGTAAAGGGAGGGGAATATACGTGATAGTGATAAGCATATTATGTAATATCAACAGCATTGGGCATTGACACTCATATTGGGCACTATGGTGATTTAGTTAAAATGAGATTTTAACATTTGGTATACAAACAGAGTGTTTATGAAGATATAATTGTATGTGTTCGCACCAAGCAATTACAAATTACTAATAAACTTCATTGTGAAACATATCAATATTTGATTGTGTTCTCTTGTTAAAGTGAGCTACAGTGCCTCATGCCATTCCCTGAGTGGTTTAAGCAGTTCTCTGATCCAGGTGGGACAATGGAGTAGCCTAGTGGTTTAAGCATTCGCTTGTAATGCCGAAGCCCCGGGTTTGATTCCCCACATGGGTACAATGTGTGAAGTCCATTTCTGGTGTCCCATACCATGATATTGCTGGAATATTGCTAAAAGCAGTATAAAACCAAACTCACTCACTCACTCACTCACTCTCTGATCCAGGTATCATCAAAGATAGACACTTTCATTCCTGGATTTGTTTATGCTCCAAGAGACAAGGAGAGACTTTATTTCAATTTGGTTGATAATGAAGTAAACATGTGTCAATTTGTTTTTAGAAAAACCCCAGTAAGTTAGGAAATTAAATGACAACCAGAAACCAACTATAAAACAATTTTGTATTCTGAAAGGACAGTGGTGATAAAGCTTGAAAATACTGGTGTATGACTTCTGTCTGAATTAATTCTGATGTATCACGAGAGGTTTGTGAAATATGCCGTGAAAAGAAAATGTTTTATGTCACTTTTACACAAATAATGGTTTTCTAATGTCTTTGTAATTTGATCTCTGAGGCATATCCTTACCAAGAACATGCATTAGGCATTGGTGATTAGCTCAGCCAAGGAGAGCAGCTGGTCAAGGAGAACAGTAGGCGTCGTAACACAGTAGTCTGTCTCACAGTCCCTGAACCACATTAATTTCCCTACTGCCAAGCCCTCTCTGCAGTGCTAAAGCCCTAAATAAAGCAAGTCTAGATTTCCTCAGGTTCAGGCCTGAATCTCTGGTCTCCCTAGGGCTCCTTTTCAATATAAATGGGCTTGTTTGTTACTATCAAAATTATATATATTCAGAGACTAAGCCTTAGTCTAGTAACACAGGTGCATCATGGGTTTTCATGCCATGAGTCGTACATATATTTTTCCATATCGAGACAAAGCAATATGCTCACTAAAATAAAGTACTTTCTGCCTGTTAAATGACTCGCTAGTGAATTTATCAAATGTTGCAAAATGTGTGGCAATTACTGTTTCAATTCAGGTGTTGAAAACATCTGCCATATACCATTGTGTCGGCAGTAACTGTTCACACACATTTTGTGTTGAAAGATTTCTTTGACTTGAATGTGATAATAATGTTGACCTGATTTCAGTAGTGTGAAGAAATACAAGAAACCTAACGATTCATAAACCTTCTCTGAAATACGAAATACTTATTATCAAGATGGGCGTTGGGGAAGTCTAGTGGTTAAAGTGTCAGCTCGTCAGACCCTGGTTCGATTGCCCACATGTATACAATGTGTGAAGATCATTTCTGGTGTCTCCCGCCATATTGCTGGACTATTGCTAAAAGTGGCGTAAAACTAAACTCACTCACTCACTATTATCAAAGAGTTGCCACATGATTTCGTGTGTGTGTGTGTGTGTGTGTGTGTGCGTGCATGTGTTTATATCATGATGCTTATCATATGAGTGAGTGAGTGAGTTTAGTTTTACGCAGCACTCAGGAATATTCCAGCTATATAATAATCGGTCTGGACCAGACAATCCAGTGATCAACAGCATGAGCATCTAGGAATTGTGACTTTTTTTCCATTCGTGCTCATTCATTTTTAGGTATTTGATTGTTAGGTTCATTTGGCTATTGTGGTGTTAGATTGTTGAACTTATATTAGAATATTGTAGTGTTTAGAGGTTTCATTCAAAGTTCATTTTCTTCATTTCTTCACTTTAAGAGAATCACGTTTAGGGACCGTTCATAATTTATGGCTAGGGGGGGTGATGATGATTTTAAGGGGGTTCACCCATTTTGTTCTGGGGTGCTTGGGGGGTCAGCAATTTTGTACACACGTACTACGGGGGGTCAGCAATTTTGTACATAAAAATATGTTTAAAATTATGCTTAGAAATTATGGGAAGGGGAGGGGGGTAATTGATTTTGTACATGACATGCAGGGGGGTCACTTATTTTGTACATGAAGTTTAGGGGCGTCATTCACATTGTACATGCTTCTACATAAAAATCATCATCATCATCCCCCCTAGCCATAAATTATAAACGGTCCTTTAGTTCCTTGTAAATCATCCATAATTTTCTCACTTCTAATAGTTGTCACGTTTAGTTCCTTGTTTAGGCCAAAGGTAAGTTCAAATTTTTTAGTTGATAAGGTTTTCA